CATTTTATTGAAAGGCTGAACTTCATAGGAACTTTCACGGAATGTGAGCTGTTGTTCGCACTTATGAAATTTAGTCCACTTTCAGTATTTGTCGAATAACATGCAAAATGAAATGGCCATTGCAGTTTTACTAAGTTTATAAAACCGATGAATTTCTTTTTTGACGCTGAATTTGTAATTTCTGGAGCCATATATTTTTAGTTCTTAATCAGCGCATAAAATATTATTCTAGTTGGGTTCCTCCTTTCATAAAATTAAATTTCTTTATCAGATATTAAACGTCATTTAGCATAGCTGGATTTTCTTCCGTTTGTTAAGTAGGCAGGATTTCTGCGGTTTATACCTAAGTACTAAATTAGTTACACAAAAGTAAACAGATATCCAGTATGTTGCAATTCAGGTTCTAAAAATAAACATTAATAAACAGCGGAAAACACCCATTTGATCACAGGAAAAGACAAAAGACGGTTGCAGCGAAGAAAAAAATTTTCTTTTCAGCAAAGTCATTTATTAAGCTGCACATTTTCCAATATATGTTAGAGTGGACAGAACATTGCAGAATTATTTCCGGTCAGGAGGAAAATATAGTGAATAACGAAAGGAAGTTTATGCAAACTTGGGTTTAGAGTGGGATTTAGATTTATCCCGTATTACATAATCACATTTTTATTTTCATAATCCCTTGTTTATTTTGCTACTTTGAAACCTAATTTGCAATAATTAACTTCCTTTTCAAGTTGTTATTCATCGAAGACTGACATCAGTTGGAGGAACAAAGGAAACCTGGGAGCACTGGACAGCTGTTTCGTCCTAGTATGGGACTCCTCAGCAGTGCGCACCCACGACCCCACTTCCTTTTCGTTATTCAACATATTTTACCCCCTGACCGGAAATAACTCTGAAGTATTCTGCCAACTGTAACATATATATATTCACGAATGTGCAACTCAGCAAATGAATTTGTCTAAGAGAAGAATTTTTCCTTGCTACAACCACCTCTTGGTTTTTCCTGATTAAAATGTTAATTAACTAGTTTCATATATGTGACTGAAATGCATCAGTCTATAGCAGTGGCATGGTTTAAAGCCATGTTAGTTTATAGTTCCAAACAAATTTTAACTAAATAATATCAGTATAAAATAATGGAATACCAGTAGCATATAAAAAATGAAGTGAAGAATAGGGATAATTGTGGGACCTCAAACTTATGTTACACCACTTTTCAGCATGCCAAATCGATTATGTATGACTTGTACATTCAAGGAAATGGATAACCCATGGTATTCTTAGATTCAAGCGTTTGTGCACGTTCTAGTGACACCAGCAGTTCGGAGACATGAAGTCGTCAGTGACATAAATGAATAGGATCGTGCTTAAGACTTAGATGAATTGTCTTACATAAAAGAGTTTCAGAATGATAAATCAGTTACACAGTCTTTTTATAGTTGACCGTTAGGGTGTACAAGTACTTACGAAGTAAACGAATACTCAACTATTCAATGTACAAGTTGTTTTACTGAAAAGTCTGCTACTGACTTTAGTAAGTTGAGATCATAATTCACCAGCTACAAAAAAAGTAATATGAATAGTGGAGAGATGTTATGGGTTTGGCTGAAGTTAAGCAAACAATCTTACTGCATCTAAACTGTACGCTTCGAAAGGCTAAAGTCGATAAATAATAATGCACTTAAATCAAGGATAAGATTTCTCGTGTCAAGCATATCGTAATTTCTGATTAAAGGATTTCAGCTGTCGACAAAAATTGCGAATAAATTTTAAAATATCTCGCATTTGGGTATGTTGTCGTCATCTCGAAAACAGATACCTTAATTTCTTGTAAATCCCCCATGTTAGTTTAGAACCTAATATATTGAGAAATTACATAAATAACGTCAAATAAGAACATAACATTTCAACTTTGGTGATAAATTTAATTCAGAAAAATCTTCAAACGTAAATTAGGAAAATATATATCATTATTAACAGTCATTTGCCTATAAGCCACATGTTACTGATTTTCAGACGATGATGAGCACAAAACAAAGCAGAATTGTCATCTTATTCTTTTAGTTCAGAAGAGTAAGCGCTTAAGTATATGCAGAAAACGCGTCCATAATAAGCAATAGCAAACTTGTCGACGGTATTCAACTATGGGAGGATTCAAAAAAAATGCAACATAGATACTTTGGGGGCAAGTAATCACATTGTTACAACTCAACATACTGCTCGGTTGCTGAATTTCACTCAGTGTCAATCTAGGTTAATTGCTCAATTACTATTTGAGGTGGAAGTTAGTGGTTTAGATCATAGTGAGGTCAAAGCTTTACTTAACCTGAATTACCATCTCTGTACTGCGAAACAGTTGAAAATATTATCTTTCCGTTGTCTAAACATTTTCACCTGCCGATAAGAATTACAGTATTAGGTTGTTAACTTTTTCTGAATGTCGGTTAGTCGGGGTCAGTCGGCAGAAAGCCTTGAACCTAGGTCCTTTGCTTGTTGGCAGTCGTTAACAAGGTGTGGCTGCAACCTTGAGGGAACTGATGCCCCCTCCGAAACTTGAGCCCGCACCACCCACCGTTACAGTCAGGGACGATACCACTGAGTTATTTGGGCCACGAATGACCTCCGGTAGGACTGAACTACAGGTACCGATTTGTCACTCTCATATTGTGTAGTCCTCAGTTGCGGCCTGAATAGCTGAGTGGTAATGCCGCCAACTGCAACAATGAGTAAAGCGGGTTCGAATCTCACAGTGGACACCAGTTTCGTTGTAGTTGTAGGTACGCCTTGCTGATGAATGCTAAAAAGCACGAAACCTAGGTCCAGGGATTCCTTCCGATTACCTCTGACTAACTAACATCTATCAAAGTGAACTGCGATGGTGAGCCTCCTAGCTTGATGACCACATTTCAAAGTAACCAATACAACTTGGTCGGCACTAAGGACTAAACAACATGAGATTGGTCACCCTCTAGTGACAAATCAATATGTGTTTGTTTTTTCTTGATGGAATAACTACATTCAGTCACTAAGGGTCATTTTTCTCTCAAGAAAGCTTAGTATCTATGCTCAGGGGAAAAAAGGTCGTATATATGTTTTTGCATCTAACAAAGGTTACAGAGTTCTTTGAGGCATCCTTCGACGCCGGGTCAAATATTAATTCTGACTCAGGATGGATTGGTCTAATAAATGATGACCATTCTTTTTTTCCAACTTTTCCCATATTATACCTGAAACTTAGAAAATTCAAATTTAATTCGCTTCTGAGTGGCATATTTTATACGTTGAGAAACACAGTAACCAAGCTGCTTCAGTACGGATACGTGTCAGGATACTAGTGAAACAACAGTAAGTGATTATTTCCTATTTAAAGATACGTTGGAAAAAAAAATGGTGATTGACTAACATAAAATACTTCCAAAAATTCACTCGGATTATTTGGCTAGGTTTGTATTTAAAAAACAGAAGTGGGCAGACCTGAAACGGCAATTAATTGCTATAAAGTGTTTGTCCAATGTCGCCATGCAAGCCACTATTTTTACTGATGCTGTCGTCATTTTAAACACTAACATGTCAATGCAAAGTAAGCTATATATACATTAGTTCGGGTAATTCCTAGTAAGATTTTAGCCGTGAAGTAGGATGACAGTATTCCGATCTGAAACTTTGCTTGCACCTGCTTCGCTTAGAATTACCAGGGGAACGAAGTATATAGACCCAGAAAAAGTTATTCGTTCAATTTCTCCCTAGACTACTTTTCATTTACATGTCGAATCATTTCGAACATGAATGAAGAAAGGAAAACAAATTACTTTTGTTTTCAATATGTCTAAACATCCAAATACATGATGGAGCTTTCCCATTATACCACATTTAATTCATAGAGTCAGCTGAATCATTAGACTTCTGTCAATGGTATACTAGACTCTTGTTTTTGTTTCAAAGTCTTATAAATATCATCCGTCTCTTACAAATTTTTCATAATATTCTTTTATCCTTACATAACTGCTGTAACAGTGGTTTTGCATCGTAATAAAGTTGGATTTATACTTTTCAGTACCCATGAGTCAAACATACCCAGATTCTTGGTTGTATTGTGTTCCCTGAGCTGGGTTGGTTAATAATGGAGCTTTCATCGTCTTTCTAGACGACATCATCAGCACTGACTTCAGTATGAAGTGAGCTGTCAGTATCTCTCAGAAAGCGACTCAGTAGCTTGTCCTGACAAAGTGGCTTGTGATTGGTTGTTTCCTTTGATTGCTGTGTCATTGACTTCTTATATTTTCCTGTTGGACGTTCCTCTGTTTAACCACTGATGTCGTTTAGAAAGACGATGAAAGCTCCATTACTAACCAACCCAGCTCAGAGAATACAGTGCAATAGAAACCACCCACTTGAACTACAAATATTCTCCACTATTTCAATACCCAAATTCAAACACTACCTAGGTAAACACATAAGCCATCATAGAATGGTTTAAATAGGATTATCACTACATGAAACAGCACGTCTAGCCTTTAAGACGCATAGTTTCATATTTTATATCTTCTAGGAAGATTCAACAAATCAAAGCACAAAAGTCTAAGGGAAGCATCCTACTGATTGCATCAAAGACAGATGGTGTAAAAGTATGATGAACAGTTTGGAAAATGCAGACTGTATGGGATTGCTCCTCATTTAAAAGTACTTTCGTAACCATCTAATTGCCGGCTTCCGTTCTGAAAACACAAGTTGTTATCAATAAACAAAGTTTCCCTGACTAGTAAAACATCGTACTGAGTGATAGTATCGACCAAAGAGTCGTGTTTCGATTTGAAGCCTTCATCAGTTGATATTTAAACAATAAATTTTCACAAATTTTAGATCGATAAAAAGCAAGTTACCAAGTGTTATGTAGACCTTTAATTCCCAGCATTGTTCTTTCTCATAATACTACCCTAAAAAAATTTCAGCTTATTTTGTTGACAAAGTTATCAACTCTTCTGTTCACTTTTCAGGCAGCCCAGTTAGGGGTAGTGAGAATCCTTGGTTCATGCAAAAAGATCACCTCATTCATCGGTTCTCGGGTAAAAACAGAATTCCCAACAATACAAAGATCAATTCAATAACAGTACATGGTAAGTAGTTTTGAAGAAATCAATTTTAATTGTTTTGATGACAGTTACTTTGCTAATCATGATTAGATGGAACCTTTATTTTCATTATGTGAACATCAGTCGAAGTAGATGCATGAATTGTAATGGTTAGACAGAAAAATGATAATGCCAATCCTATTCTTATCAGTATTTACGTTTCTAAATACGATCAGAAAAAGCAGATGAAATAAACTTGCTAACATGTATCATGAAATTTCTTGGAAGCTGATATATCTGGAAAATAAAATATAATATAGTTAACACTATCAAACGTTGTAGGGACAAACGTCACTCAACACATATGCCTAACTTATTTGAATAACTCAAGGGCATATACTGTGACATTCAGCAAATATGACCCGAAAATATTAGGTTAGAATATCAGTATAGGTTGGGAGAATTTCTGCATGTCTATAAACCCCAACCCTTCAAGTGGAATCACTTAGTTTACAATCAATGTGAGCTCTTATCTGCACAGATTTTAACAATCATTTGATGTCGAAGTAACTTGAATCATGTTAATTGATCGGAAGGTCATCTGTGGGAAGCTTTGAACCTAAGTCTTGTACTTGTTGGGACTCGTCAGCAGGGCGTGCCCGTAGCGTTGAGTGAACTGATGGACCTTTTGAGGTTCGAGTACGAATCGTATAGTGCTGTAGTCGGGAATGTTACCACTAAGCTATTTGGTCTGCAACTGACCTCCTGTGGGAATTGAACGGTAATTGGAGAGTAAACAATTTCGTGTTATCTAGTCCTGATTCCTGATATAATCCTCTTGGTAGTTTTAAATTCAATAAACCTAGGCCCAGGGGCTTCTACCGATTATCTCCAACCAAATGATAACTATTTATTACAAGGATCCTAGTCTGATAGCCGCAATGCGGAACGATAGACAGAGTTGGTCAGTGCTTAGGACTAGACAACATAAAATTGGTTGGTCTCTAGTGAACAAATCAACCTGTAACTTGGCGACTGCCTTTGTTTGGTTGGCATCATCTCCAGCTGCCAATATTCACCTTCTGTATTTACTGTATAGCATAATTAGATCATGAAATTTCTTATGAAGCAAGTGAAACATGAAAATCTTCATACATACATATATATCAGAAATTCGAGTCATTTCAGCTAATGAAAGTATTTCAAATTATTCAGGTCAACTTAAAATGGATAAGAATGATATTATTGACTCATGATAATTAAGGATAATGATCATTTCATGGTCATTTTCATTCTGAACTCTAGGCCAAAACCTTTATATATATATATACATGCTATGGACATTTTATAATTAAGGTTTTTAAAGTATCGATTTTCTTACTTCTTGATAATGTATTCTTATGTTGTAAATGAAAAATTAACTTCTCAGTATCTATGTCAAGACAGAGGTAGGCTTATAAACTGACTTATAATCTTTTCTAGTGGTCGGTTTCTCGTCAAAAATTTATTTCCTTTTCATGAGTGATATGGAGTAAAAGAAAGACGAGCGAGAAAATATTGATTGATAGTAGAAAGTAGAATTTCGGGGGCAAGAATAACTCTATAACATATTCTTCTGGCTACTTATAATGTTTTATCCAAAATACCAAGGCAGATCTATCAATAAACACTATACAAGCCTCCGCAAACTGATGTTTAGTCTCCAGAAAGAGACAGCGATCACACATACACACTTTTAAGTAACAGAACTTCACTTCATTGCAAAATCCTGTCAAAAAATAATGTTTCACGTCAACTGATAAAAACCACAATGCTTTTAATATAAAGAATAGCAGACGAATGCTCTCATTAAGAAGGAAATTTAATTCGCTAGGCTTAGCTAACTACGAAAGAATAAAATCAGTCAGTATTGTCCTTATTTACATCCCCATCTAGAAAGGCAGCAAACACTAAGCGATACAATGTGCCTGTTAGTGCGTTGACTAACAACGGCTGGTCACATCTGTTCAATTCATCGATTATTGTACGACAGCGGGATGCACGAATTAGCACTGAGCCTGAACAGAAGGGATGATCATCTGTTTGCCGCACTTCATGGTACGAACAAAACTATGAGCTCTGAATGTATTCTTCAAACGTCGAACTTTATGTCCAATCAGCGTGGATGAACATCATTCAGTATCTGGGTATCTGCTCAGAGGACTTGTATGCTGGTGGGGACTAGTTAGTTGCATATTAACTATCCATTTGATAATCTTACTACCGTCAGTAGTGAATGACAGTTCCTTTTATGATTTGCGCGACAAGTGTTTTTCAATGGGAGACTAGAAATGAATTTTTGGAAAGCACGTAAGTTTCGCAAATTGTTGTATATAGTGTGTGTGACAGCATGAATATAAAAATGGTGATATTATGTGGAAGTTACGATAGAAAGATTAGTAAGCGAAAGCAGAAGATTAAAGTAGCACTTCTTGACTCGATGTGTAGTCCATGATATTAGTGTAGACCTAATTATTCTGAAGTTCATCTGAGGTCACATTTTCTCCCATGGCTTGAACACGTCATGTATGCTGCATTCCTTTCTTTTCATTCCATACACTTTTAGTGGTTTTCAAACCTCTTAGGAGAGGACGCCAAGTGGTCAGTATGTGACATGACATCATTGTATAAAGAAAAATTATCTCCAGTTAGCGGTGTACCATGCAAGAGACTGGAAATCATCGGTGTGAGGTGATTCCATACATAGCTCAGATGTTGGAATAGTAGTGATCATTAAGTAGTCATCTTCAGTCTCTATTTGAGAATAACCCTGCACGATGAGCAAAATTAATTTGAATGTATCTTTTAAACATTATTCCACTTATCTAACTATTATACAATTCTTTATCACATTTTCTTAATGGCATTTTAATAGTTATATATTTTTTAAAACAACTTTTCCCCTTCATGAATTTCGATAAAGCAAATCTTTAACGGCAGGCGAACTGGTCATAAGACCAGCAGAAGAAAGGAAATACTATTTCTTTTAGTCACTGAAAAGTGACAAGTGTAGGTTCCAAACTACATGCTTCAAATGACATAAACACGTTAGCTTGCGTAAAACTTCTTTCATATAATCTCTGAATACTCTGAATCTTATCTATAATCTGAGAAAAGATGTCAGACGAATAAACTGTTGTTATAAAATGTGTTGACGTTGACAATGAAATCGATCCCAGACTAAGCCTACCTGCAAATAATACCAGTTCATTTGTTCTGTTTCATCCTGGCAAAAAAGGAATTCCCTAATTTTGAGAATAACCCGTTTTGAGAGGAATTTACAATAAAAACTACCAGAACCAATGGCTTTTAGCAGTAACAAGAATTTATAGCTAAAGATGCAGAGAGCATTTTTTTAAGTTTAAGGTTCATTGTGAATAAATTATCAGCTGGCTAACTGACTTCAGCAGATTTTAAATTATCGAAAATGAAACATTCCTTAACTGCATAAGGTTTTTACATGAAATGTTTTAGCCTTTGTACGGCTGAAAAGAGGTGTTACACTCACCCCATATCAATCTTTTTGATTCTAGTATTTGTTGTATCACGTTAAGGAGAAAATACCTTGTAAGTATGGATATAAAGCCTACACCCCAAATGTAAGTTTTCACTGTTGTTGTCTTATTAGGCTCATGTTCCTTGTTAACGTTAGCTGATGCAGGAAATCAGTTTTCTACAGTACGTATTTTTCATGCTGCCTTTTTCTCACAGAAATAAGTCGATTTTCACTAGATCACAATTGATATTTCAGATTGGTAAAAAAGACGACTGGGGTTTAAATAACAGTAAGTGCTAGTCGAAACAATTGGGATCCTTTAAAATCGACAACTACCCTAACCAGCCAGTCCCTTGCATTTTTTTTTACCAAGAATTCATGTGATCATTAAATGTTATATCAGTATAGCATTTTGTGAAGCACAATTTACTCGGCTTTCAACGTGATCAGATGTGTCATGATGCTTTCTTTCTGAATCTTACAAGAAAGATAATTTCACGCCATTTATCAGGGTAAGTACTCAGTGTATCATGCTTCAAAAAAGTCAGATTCCAGGCTAATTTAAAAACATTCATCTATATTGTCACGAGTTACTGCCAATATATAGGGATGAAAAGAAAAATTTTGGCAACCACGAACATTTTCATAAACAAGGTAATAAGTCACATCCATATTGTCAGAGTAAGAGATACTACCTGAATGCTCACACCTAAGTAATTCAGTAGGGGTTCAAACGCATGACATACCAGTTGAAATTTGAGTGCCTGAACCATTAATTCACTGCTCTACAAGCGAACATATAGACACCTTTGGACCAGTGGGTGACCGAAACCTAAACACTTCTAACTCACTCCTAACTTCTGAAAAGATTAAGGTATTGAGAAGAATCATCAGTCCCCTGAAATACCGTTTCTTGTTGTATGAGTCAGTAGGACATTTCCCAGTCGATACAGATCTCATCGTAGATCTACAACGTACAACTTTATTTTGTGTCATCAAATTTAACAACCATCTAGCTGAATGAATAAGTAATTTCACAGCTCGTATTTAAATAGTGTCACTTGAAAAATTATTTGATTACTTTGCTTTATTTCTTACAATGTTACTCATAAATAATCTTTCAGTGAACTGAAATTTAAGAGCCACTCAAAATTTAGCTACTTTATCTTTCTATATAATTAGTAATTTAATAAGGCAAATGCTCTACAGTAAAATTAGATGCATTGGCAATTAACTCAGTAAATTTTGTTTTTACGCACTCGTAGTAATCTGTGCATCTATATCAAAAAGTTTTCGTGAAGCAGTGATAGTAAACAGAATACTTACCACCAACGGTAGTAACACATTTTCGCTATAAAATATTAACTATTGGTTAATATTTGGAAGTAAACCTCAAATTTCATTCGTATCTATTCTTAGAATGGATTCTTTTGAAAACATCACAACCTCTCTTTTTTTAGATATGCTTTCACTGATTGACTCCATTTTCCAGTATTACTAGAAATGAGAAAATTTATGGGCAAATCGTTTCTCTTTTTCCTGTGTCATGCTTTAGTGTCACTTTGTGAAAAGAACAAATTAACATGCATATTAAAGAATTTAGCGATAAATATCTGGACGGTAGGTTTCAAAGGCTAACGTAAATTATAAATTTAGGATGGACTTGAGTTACTTCCAGATTACATTAACGTCATATTGTTGATTGTCGGTCACTAAAAGTTATAGATGCATGTTTTACTACCCATTTTTTGCGAAAATCAAGTATAAACAGATTTGTGTTGGAAATAACAGTGGAAGTCAAGGTTTTAGTCAACTGATATACATCCAACTACTGAAGTCTTCTGTCACCTGGAAGCGCCTATATGTTGAGCACCGATAAGACATCGTCTAGCCCTTTTTTCGGTTTTCTTAATGGTGAGCGCCTACAATTATATACACAACTCAACGTTATCAAACTCCACTTATTTCATAGCACAACATGTTTGTCCTTAATTTTGATATAGCTGATTTTGAATATTATGTTTTATGGAAAGATTTCACGGAACGCAGTTTAAAGTCAATGACTAATGAATAAGCATTTTTATTCGAGACGATACTCATCACAAACTGACATCAGTTGGAGAAGCGTTAAAAAACTTAGGAACACTGGACAGCTATTACATTCGAGCAATGGACTCTTCAGCAGCGTTCACTCACAAACCCGCAAGGCATCGCACCAAGAAGTTTCAAGTCTCGCGAAGATTACGTTACTATACAGCTACTGTATCAGAATCCAACGTTCACAGTATAGGCTAAATACTAGAACGAAACAGCCGTTCAATGTCTCCATGTTTCCTTTAATTCTTCAACAAGTGTTATTACTTGATTAGCTTGACCTTGAAATCAATCAATAGTCGAAACTAGAGGAACTGAACTGATGTACACTTATGTGGTTTGTGACGACTAGATTATGCACCAAGCTGAGGTACGCTGGACGAGGATAAATCAGTTATTCAATACCCATTTATTCATGAGTTCGTCATTTCTCAGGGGAAACTAGGCCTAAACTAACTGATTTCACAAAAGTGGCTTCAGATGAAATTAGAATTTGGTTCGACTGTAACTAGATTACAAACATCGTAATACATCTTTGAGTAAATAACGAAAATCTCATTTACAGATTAGCCTGATTTATCTTCTTTGCCTTAAGGGTGAGAGATAGCAGAATAAAATAATTGTTCCACAAATTACCTGTGATTAGGAGTTTTCAATAATTAATTACCTCTTCTGTAATATTCTTTTAGACGGAAAGGAAAAAAATAATTAAGATGTATTAGTAAGCAACTTAAAATTTATTTATGAGTAACATTGTAAGAAATAAAGCAAAGTAATCAAATAATTTTTCAAGTGACACTATTTAAATACGAGCTGTGAAATTACTTATTCATTCAGCTAGATGGTTGTTAAATTTGATGACACAAAATAAAGTTGTACGTTGTAGATCTACGATGAGATCTGTATCGACTGGGAAATGTCCTACTGACTCATACAACAAGAAACGGTATTTCAGGGGACTGATGATTCTTCTCAATACCTTAATCTTTTCAGAAGTTAGGAGTGAGTTAGAAGTGTTTAGGTTTCAGTCATGCATTCGGACCGGTTAAATGTCTCTGAGATACCGTTTTCATCAGAAGATGTCCTAGGACTAATATTCCCACTTATATACAAGCATTTTTCCGTCAGACTGCTAGATCTCGAAAGAGACTCCTTTGGTTAGCCACTAAGTTTAGCGGTAAAGTCTATGATTTTGAAATTTTTGATATGCAGTTTTGACTCAACTAAGAAAATTACCAGCCTTTTTATGTTCGCAGATATATTTTGCTAATGAATGCAAAGAAGTACACATTATCATATCCTCATTTCTATGATAGAAGGAAGTATCAGTAACTGCATAGATTTTCCGACTTAGCAAAGGAATTTCAGTCATATGTCTGTCAGTCGGTATTACAACATTTTTCGTTTACTTAAGTTTCTGATTTTATGAAATCTTTTAATGACAAATGTGTTTCAGAGAAATTTAACTGATTTGTTGTAATAAAAGTAAAAGGTAAGAATAATTTTACATAGTACCATTTAAACAGTTGTATTTTTATTCTAATTTTCAACGGGAATTTAGTTGCCGATATGACATGTATTTGTCAGTGTGAGCGAACATTAGTATATCTTATGTGGTAGAAACGTTTTAGCGAACCGATCATTATTTAACATAGTGATTATCAGGTATAGGGACCATAAATATGTAGATTAAGCTGAATTCTATGATAGATAAGCAACATTGAAATCTACCGAAGCTGACTTTTGCTATTGTCTACAAGATATAACCGAAGTGTAATGATGTTGTTCGTTTTCATTTGCTAGGTATAGCAAATTCACTTGTTATCTGAGTATTTCAAGCAGAGAGATTCTTCTTGGTTTTCTCCTGTGTTATACTCTTTCTTTATTACAATAAATTTTTTCAGTAGCTGGTTCATTATGTATTGTTTTGACTAGTTTATTCTTCTGAATACCGTAGTTTTGTTCTCTTTCCTGTGTCTAAAGAGCGACAACGTCGTCAGACTGATTGCATACTGATCTGAATTATAAAGTAGTAGTCATCAAGGACCGACATCAGTTAGGGAGCTACTGAAAACCTGGGAGAACTGGATAGCAGCTTCGTCCTAACATGGGACTCAGTGGAACGCACCAATGACCCGGCTAGGGATCGAACCCAGGACCTTCAGGTTTCACGGTGAACACGTTAACCATTCAACCACTGGGTTAAAGCTCACTGGTTCGTAGCTTCCAACTTCTGTTACTTAGCGATATAGCACGAGTATCACCTAAGTTCTTCGGCTGGTATCTGCTTCCTTTCCGACTGGTTGACCCCACAAGTCGAAACAGCTGTCCACTGCTTCCAGGTCTTCAGTGGTTCTCCAACTGATGTGTCTTGGATGAATACTACCTCAAAATTAAGATCTCCATTAATCTTAAAATATATTACTGATGTGAATTTGTTGTTGCGAACATTTTAAAAATGTAAATGAATTGTTTTCAGAAAGTCTTTAAGATGATCTTCTCCATGACATACCTTCATGTTTGTTTATTTTGTGTATCATTAACTATTTAGGTGAAACGATTCCTGTAGTACCAATGTCTATTGCTTTTCTTATTGATCCAGAGTTATCTTCTGAATATGCGGATGCAAGTGATAAAACAGAGTTTGTTCCTAATGTTTAGACCTTTTTTTAGGAAAAGCAGTTTCAAGAAATGTTGATGCAATAAGGCTTTAGAAAAACTGATGTTCTCATCGATTCTATGATATATTGCTGAATAAATATATGTTACTTGTTATCGTTAACGATGAAGATCAACTGGTTAAATTAAACTAAGATTTTAAAGTACTTGAGTTCACTGTATTTCGTAGGAATGGGTAAGATAATTAAGATAATTTAATGCACCAATCGTTATGAAGAATTAACTATTATAACCGATGTTGGATTTTGATAAAATACTGGGCAGAAAGCTTTGGATCCATATTTTGAATTCAAAGTTTATCTAACACCTCAAAAAGTCTCATGTTGCTTCGACTTCTTAATTTCGTGCAAGTCGAGTATTATGTGTTCATTGATAGCTTGTTTCATACGTTATCAAGAACAACAAGACAGTGTTGATTTATAATGAATGATGAAACATTTGTGGAAATTAATGAGCTCATTTTCTCTGTCGAAATCTTTCCCTTCCCTTATTCATAAACAAATACTGTATACTTGTAAACTGAACTACAAGTTTTATTTTCAAAATTTTTAGAATGTAATTTACTGTTCATAGGATATCAAACAATGAACAGTAATTTTTGTGAATACAGCTTATTAAAAACAATGTTACAGTGTACAGAAAAATTTACGAAATCTTCATCAGAAGCCGCATATGCCTAAAAACTTTTTTCAACCAATAGCTTTGCTTCTAAGTTTCAGGAAAGCACATGTGAATCAACGTGTAAGTATCAAGTCGGTTGAATAGACAAAAAAGTCAATAAGATTTAAATCTAGAAAGGCCTGGAAACAGCCAAGGCCATTGTAATATATATATATATATATATATATATATATATATATAAACCTTGTAATTTTTATATATTGTTAACTTTGCCGTTGACGTAATAAATATACCTTCTGTTGTATTACCGCCTTTTCTGTTTATGAAGAAACTGAGTGACCGATAAGAGTGGAATCTGAAGGTCATAGTACGAGTGTCCAGATATACATAATTCACTCTCTGTCAAGTCACTGTTAAGATATAAAACCATAAAAACTGACTGATGAAGAGAATTAATTATTTAGAAGAGAAGAATTTAAAACTAGGACACATTTTGAGTTCTCAAATATAAATATCTTGTCGATTTATAAAGACAACTGGGAGTGGAACTCAAAAAAATGTTTCATCAGTAATAATTTTCTAAAAGAACCAGGTAATGGCTATCATTTTAATTGATTTAACACAAAAGAACACTAGAAACCAGTAAAGGTTGTGTTACTGACCCGTTAACTTCAGAACTTAGAAAAAGTGTTCATCTCAGATCCGTTTCAGATCAAAATTAGGTGTTGACAAAAGAAGCTGATTGCATCAGAACTAAGTAACTGGAATTCTGTGAATTCACTTGGAGATTTTTAGAACTTGAAACCAGTGCTAAATTAAGTGGTTTTTAAGTGAATTAAGTGAGCATTGATTTCCAATTTACGAGAATGCAATGTCTGTTGCATTACATAATATCACTGGCAATTTAAACTGAATAATTTCTACCTTCAATCAGATCCAACTCTTTTAATGTTTTGTAACCTTATACTTTACAAGCAGACTTTGAATTAGATAACTTTAGGAAAATTTTTTCTCAGAGAGTTCTGTTGTTACATGAATGATACCATCTGTAAGAGCTTTGTTCAGTACTCTGTAAACTTTGACATTCACTAGTGATACCAACACTTTAATTTATGAGGAGCCTCCGAATGACTGAATACATAACATTGAAGTCATTCAGCACAAAATCTAATGACTGTCTTCCGATTACAGCTATTCACTGTATCCCTAACTATCCAAAATTTATTTTGTGATATTTTGCATGATTTTGAGGTCACCAATTCATTACTTTCGCAGAAAGCTAGATGTGAATTTTGTTTGCTTATTGAGATGTGATTTTTTAGTGGATACCTATTAATCTTATTTGGCTTGTGGAGTACATTTCGGTTATAAAGATGAAGGTAATCGATTCAGATTCCTCACTGAAGCAGATTCCAATGCAGACATGTCTCGGTATTAAGTGAAGTAATTTTAACCGCGTATTACTCGGTAGACTACCGGTCATTACAGACTGGCAGCATGTAAAAATTGAACTAATTAGTGTCAGACTCAGCTGTCTAGCTTCCACCATGCAGTAAATTTCGATGCATGTTGCAATACTGAACTATAAGGTTTATAACAAATCGAAGAAATAGTCTTAATTTTCTGATTTTGTAATTAAATACTCATTGATACCTATTAACTACAATCGTCTCAGCTATCGTACAATTCAGTGCTTTGGAACATGATTTGCTGTGGTACCAAACAGGTATATATGATGACAGTGCCGATCACCTTGCTGACAGCTCCACAGGAAGAATTTCAGTCTAACTGTATCTTAAGCTTTCAAAATGAGAGCGAGAAAAAAAATCAGCTTTTTAAAGATTTTAGGCATCTACTTCTCACTATCTACAAGATGATGAAACATGAATCCAAAGCTACTGATCCCCCCCCCACACATCTTTACACAGCCTTCTGTTTAGTGTTTGATGACAGAACCAACAAGATACCTGTCAATTTTCCACGAATGTCAGTTTTTTATTCAAATTAGTAATTCGGTTCATATGTTGAAGTCTATTCGCTCAGAAATATCACTATATAGTTGTTCACTATTTTTGTTACTAGGATCACAGCACTGGCTGCTAGTTTGAATCTTGCCACTGCCAAAATTTTCATTTTACCTTCAATCATCACCCAGTATCAATAAAAGTCTGCAGAATAGTCAAACTGAAAACACTTTGGCTTAACTGAATATTTCGATAGTTTTCAAGTAAAATCCAGGATAACGAATGTTTGTTTGTGTTATGTTATTAGCGATCTAATCCCTACAAAAGAATGTCGGTTAGTCAGTTTTTTCCCTCACTAGTTAAATGCCCTATTCAAACAAAAAATTTAATTTATATTACCCTAAATGACATAATCTTCTCACTTGGATTTGTTACAGCAGTGCATCATCACATATTGACTCATTCTTCAATGCTCATAAATTCTTCATCACTGTATTATGATAGCAAGCTGAGTATGCAATCACTTAGCATAAAATAATTAGGTAATTCCTATCTGCGATTAACAGATATTTATTCACATCATTAGAAAAAAAATGGGATGAAGGATAAAAACCATCTGCTGTAAAACGACAAAAACTGCATTGGCAATAAAATGACAGTTCCGATCGGCAATTTGTAATGGTTTGTCTCCAACTTACTAAGCCTGTGATAATGAAGTGTGAATTCCCATTTTATCTCATCGACTAAATTCATTCATATTTGTCTATAGGATGGTTAATTCGTTGAAATCAGAATAGAACAGTAGAAAAATGCAGCAGATGGTGGAATAAAAAGTGATTTACAAAACTATTTTTTGAATGGAAATTCATTAAAAACAGCAGTTAATTAGTTCATGCGTCAGTGAACAACTACAATATACCACTACGTTTAGTCTGATTTATCCGCTTCATATGTTCCAAGAGCTCAAAGATGACAGTAACTATAACTTCAAAAATATCTCTTGAAAGTATAATCTGTTTGTGGATAGAAGTTGCTGTTACTATCTGCATGTAAAACTGAGCGACTAAACTGGATACCTTTCCTCATGGTTTAATACAAGTGATTCACCTTAGTCACATGGTAACTCTATTCAATCCAGCTGTAAGAATATAAAGAAACTGAGTTACATACCAAGTCGTGTATATATTTCAACAGTGATGAAATTCAAGTGAACCTAAAGGCCACCCAGACAGCTACTGAAAAAGCTAAATGTGTTGGTTCATTTTATAAGGAAGTAAATTTCCAGCTGAAACAAAACACCTAATTGGTAATATCAGTCGTTTCTAAAGTGACCCCTACAGTCTCTCTGAAAGTCACAGAAAAACATTACTGATGTAACGAAACGGCCACATATATACAAAGATGTGGCCAGGATAAAATAATATTGATCTTATCTGCGGATGACACATAGGGAATCAGGGATAATCAACAAAGTTTTCCCAATCAATGTACAGCTGTAATTTTGTTGTCTAATATCATTTTGCTTTCAAAATGTAGTTATGTAAACAAAGAACAAGCGAGGTGAATTTAGCTGTATGCATCTGCAATTATGAAATCTAAAATTTGTTTTAATATTAAGTTCTGAAGCTCACTATGGGTTAATACATCTCAAATGTGAAGTAATGTATTAAAAATCACTTGATTTACTCAAGAAAATAACTTAAATGGACTGAAATTAGCGGCGAAGAATGGAAAGGGGGAACTTATCTGATTAGGATTGATTGACTCGACGTGTTGGTGAAATCGTGCTACCTGTTTATAGTAAAAACAAGGTCAGCGTTTTAGCAGTGATCACAATAAAGAAGTCTACCGTGAGACAGAGAAAGATGATGAAATACCACTTGCAGAAGAGTAATAAGCAAAAATCAAGTTAGATTTCAGCTGTCGATAACTATAAAATCGAACACGATATGTAGGTAAAAAGTAAGAGATTTTAGTGTGAAATAGGTACTTTTATGATATTGCTTAAAATTCCTATTCATTTGTTTCATTCCATATTGAACAATTATCCTGTAACTTACTTGATAGTTTTTATAAAACCTTTTTCAAGATGTCCCACAAACATAAATATGAATCTCAGAATATAAGCGTAAAACTTAGGTGCTGTGGTACAGTATAATTCTATGTATGATTGTATACAGTAATGCAGAACTATTTAATGGATGGCGTGTCGTGCAAAATTTATTACTCATATTCACATCGGTATGAATATGCATCACTGTGTGCCATATCAAATAAACAGTCTTATATGGAATGTATCTCAGCACTTATTCAGTAAAATACAGCATCACATTGTTTTACCTGAGAAGCGGAGTGCGAGTTCCACCAATAATATTGGGAGAACAAGGAGTAGATTATAAAGTGGCATATCTTCTTGATTAAAGTGATAACCTCTAGTATTCTCCGGTATCCATCCCAGGACGTTCACTTCTCATGGTGACTGCGTTACCATTCAGCCGATACACTGATATACAGTATCGGATCATTATTTCCTACCTCTGTCAATTTCATATATAGCATGGCCACCATCCAATGTAATCGAATGCAACATGCCTAACTCCCAACAGGATTGATCTCAAAATTCATGAAATCCCTTCAAAATTAGAACGAAACATTTGTCCAAGGCTTCCAGGTTTTCAGTGTTTCTCCAGTTAATATCAGTCCATGATGAAAACTACTTTCATACCGAAAAATCATTCCGAAATTAAATAACAAGGTGACTGTATATAGTGGACTTTCCTGTGGTTCTATATTAGTCTTGGTGACTAACAGAGGAATCCAGGATGCGCGTTTCGTCTTATTCGGGACTCATTAGCCAGATGCACCAGCACCCCATTGAACGATGTTGTCCTCATAGAGGCTGAAACCCAGTACCCAGCTGATGAGTCCCAAATAGGACGAAACGCGCGTCTTGTATTCCTCTACTAGTCACCAAGATCAATATAACATTTTTATTCGGCAGTGTCGAGGCATCTACGTAGGATCGCATCCGCTAACAGAGGTCAAACGATTCGGCCCTGTATAGCAACGGGAAATTACAAGTATCATAACAACAATTTCCTGTGGTCTACTTGCTTTTACATATTTTCCAACCATGGTTCTTTCAGAAGTTCATCGTAGCAACTGAACTAAGCAGTCGGGTCTGTCCATTTTGAGAAAAGAAATATCTTTTCAAAACGGATGAAAA